TTCGTGGAAAAGTAATTGTATTATTGTTTCACGTTTTATAAATAAATAAAAATACTCCCGTTTTTCGCGTCAAAAGAAGTAAAAGAGGTCTGTAAAGTTCAAATCTATGTACATAAACTAAATAAATTATTTTTAGCAAATTCTGGGGAGATTTTGCCCCATTCTTCAGTCAAAGCCTTATTTAATTCGTCCTTGCTTGAAATGTCGCTCTGCCTAGTTCTTCGGTCAAGGTGCTCCCACCGATGCTCGATAGAATTAATTTCTGGGGTTGGAAATTTGGTTTTTTTGCGTCCACGATTAACAAATTAGATTATTTCAACATTTTATAAAATAACGTTGCTCAAAGCATCGTTTAATTAGGACTATTATTAAACTGGATCTTTAACAGGACAACGGTCCTAAACACAAGTTCAAAGTCGTAAGTTAGTGGCTGTTATGTCGAACACCAAAACTCTTGGTAACACTCTACAGTCCCAGACATTAATCCTATCGAGCATCGGTAGGAGCATCTTGACCGAAAATTTAGGCAGAGTAACATTTTAAGCAAGAACGACCTATTGTATTCATTTTAGGCATAATAATGTAGGACTGTGTAAACGGACAATAAGACTGAAATAGAAATGCCACACTGTGTAGGAAACAGATGTGACAACAGCGAACGGACTGGAATAACAACGAAACAGTAGGTACGAAGACGAATTAAGGACAGACAGACCACCGGCAACCACGGACCACGCAAAACCACAGCAGATCACAGCTATTTAAAATTTTATATTTTTATCCGGCCATTGCAATTATTTCTTTGCGGCCATACTAGCAATTTAATAAAGTTTATTTGTAATAATCTATATATATTTAAAAGTGAAATGGTGTATAGTTGTAACGCTAAAACTCGAAAACGGCTGAACCAAATGAAATACTTCCTTTGGGGGATTTGTTTGTTATTACCACGTGCAGGTACAAAATAGTAAGGGGACGTGACACCTCCCATACAAATTGAATTTTTCAAGTCGAATATCTTCAAAAGTGTTTAAGGTAGGAACATGAAAATTGGTACAGAGCTACAGGATAACAACACCACTCTTACCTATAAAACCGGGGGCTATCGAACAAGGGGGCGTGGTACTTCCCATACAAACTAAATTTTTTAAGCAGAATATCTGTGAAAGGGTTCAAGGTATGGACCTGAAAATTGGTATAGACCTATATGGTATCAAAAGCCTTCTTACACATAAAAGAAGGGGTAATCGGAAAAAGGGGCGTGGCACCTCCCATACAAAATGAATTTTTCAAGGTGAATATCTTCAAAAGTGTTTAAGGTAAGAACATGAAAATTGGTATAGAGCTATAAACAACACCATTCTCACCCATAAAACTTGGCTTTATCGAAAAAGGGGTCGTGGTACCTCCCATACAATCTTTAATTATTTTGGTTGTTAATCCACCATATATTTATCTCATTTTCCACCTAGCACGACATTTTGGTTGTTTCTTGCTATTATTGTTTATATATCGGTGACAGTAGCGGTTATATCGTAATTTTGGTTGTGTTACGTGCTATTTTTGGTTTATGGAAATGGCAGTTTTATGAAACAAACACAAATTAAATTAAACGTCAATTTTGCTTTGCAATCGAACACGCAAAATTTGGAGGGCAATAAAAATGCGGCTTGCTTTACTGATATATTGATATATTTTGTTTTAAAAAGTGAGTTATTTAGTGAAAGTGATTTAGCGTGTTGGCGAATACCGATTTATGTACATTGGAATTTATCATTCAATTGATCTGCTTCCTTAGTTTAATTCATTCATTTTTGGAGTTTTAAAAGGTAAGTTATTGGTCCGTAAAATCTTATATAAATTAGATATTTGTTACGATGCCAAGAGTCAGTACGTATGGTAACACTTCTCGGAGTTCCCAGGCCGCAAGGAGAACACGAAATAGCAGAGCATATATATACTGGAGAATAGCACGCACCAGTTAGAAGATGTCAACCAAACATACAATCAGCAAGAACGATTGAGAAGAAGGGAAGTTCACAATCAGCAACAACGATCGAGAAGAAGGGAAGTCCGTGCTCGCCAAAGTGATGAAGTAAGATCACAACATGCGATTATTCGACGACAACAGCGACAATATCTTTCATTTGTGAACATTGAACGGGCAGGTTTTCGATATGATCCAAACATTCAGTATAGCGCAGCTGTTCAAATCGGTCAGATGTCAGTAGTTTGTCAATATTGCAATGCAGTCAAATTTAAAAATGAACCGCCAAGGTTATGTTGCGCGGGGGGAAAAGTTAAGTTGCCAGAATTGCTTCCACCACCACAGCTATTGTTCCAGCTGCTTTTCGGTGAATCTCCTCACTCGAGCCATTTCTTAAAGCACACTAAATTGTTTTCAAATAACGTCGTTTGGCGGTGAAATTTTAAATGAACAAAACTACAATCCAACGTTTAACGTATTTTTGCCAAACAATATTCGACAGAAACTACAGAGCTTTCCTCCAATTATACAGGTTCATGGGCAAATTTTTCATCTCGCTGGATCACTGTTGCGGCATCCAGATCAAGAACATAAATATCTCCAAAGTTACTTTCTGGGAGATTCACATGATGAAGTAAATCGGCGTTGTGCTATCTTCAATGCAGCGCAAAGAGAAATAATCGAACAATTGCAGCAAACGTTACACGAAGACAATGGCCTTATTAAACTGTTTACGATTTCGTGGGAACGTATGCCAACAGACGATCATAGTATAATCATACAAGCGGACAAAATACCAACAGGGACACATGAAAGACAATATAATGCACCTACAGTTAGCGATATATTAGTTGTTGTTGTTGAAGAAAATTTGCAGTCGCGTGATATTGTTATCAAACGTAGAAATCAAAACGCACTAAAACGGATAAGTGAGACACATCGGTCTTACGACGCAATGCAATATCCGCTCATGGTCTGCCGTGGAGAAGACGGATATCACTTAGGATATAAGATGATAAATCCGGTGAATGGTTAGTAAAAAAAAAATTTTGTTTGCTACTTCATATAGGTAATTTAAGCTTTTAGGTGTCGAAACAATGATAACTATGACAACCACTTACTGAGATATGGACGATTATTTCAACAGTATGCAGTTGACATGTACGTTAAAGTTGAGACAGAACGACTTAATTACATGCGATACAATCAGTCGAAGTTGCGATATGAAGAGTATATTCACTTAAGAGATGCAATGAATGGTGATGCGGATATTACAGATATTGGTCGACTCTATATTTTGCCATCGACATACATTGGCAGTCCTAGACACATGCATGAGTACCCCCAGGATGCGATGACTTACGTGCGCAATTATGGACGGCCGGATTTGCTTGTTACATTTACTTGCAATCCAAAATGGCCAGACATTACGAATCTATTGCATCCCGGTCAATCACCAAGCGATCGCCACGACGTTACAGCACGTGTGTTTAAACAAAAACTCAGATGTTTGATGGACTTTATTACGAAACAACGTGTATATGGCACTGTTCGATGCTGGATGTACTCAGCGGAGTGGCAGAAGAGAGGTTTGCCCCACGCACACATTCTTCTTTCGATGGTGGAGAAAATTACACCTGACCAAATTGATGACATCATTTCCGCCGAAATTCCTGATTATGAAATAGATCCAGAGTTGCACGAAGTGGTGATGGCCAATATGGTTCCTGGGCCATGCGGAGAACACGATTCATCTTCGGTTTGTATGTCGGAGAGTAAACGCAAAAAACGCTATCCCCGTGCTTTTATTTCGGAAACGACGGATACCCTCTCTATCGGCGTCGCTCACCCGCTGACAATGGCAGAAMATTCATBACTCAATTGAAAGGAAAGAATTTCSTGRTTGAWAACACATGGATCGTTCCATATTCGCCAATTTTGTCTAAGGCATTCAAAACACATATAAATGTTTAGTATTGCAGTTCAATAAAATCAATTAAGTATGTTTGCAAATATGTCACCAAAGGAAGCGATATGGCGGTTATTGGCGTGGAACGGGATGAAATTAGCAAATTTCAAATGGGCAGATATGTGAACTGCAATGAAGCAATCTGGAGAATATTTTCATTTGCAATTCATGAACGCCATCCTACTGTTGTGCATCTGGCAGCTCATTTGGAGAATGGCCAGCGAGTTTATTTCAACGCAGAGAACATAGTACAGCGAACGGAAATACCACCAGCAACCACTTTAACAAGTTTCTTTGCAACTTGCGCCAGTGATCCGTTCGGGGGAACATTGCTTTACTCGGAGATGCCTCGGTATTATACATGGAATGCATCGTCGAAGAAATTGTTGCGCAGGAAGAACGGCCATCCGGTAGATGGTTATCCAGGTGTTTTTTCAACTGATGCATTGGGAAGAATTTACACAATCCATCCAAAGAACAATGATTGCTTTTACCTACGTTTGCTTTTGATTAATATACGCGGTTCAATTTCATTTGAATCATTGAGGACTGTAGATGGTACCATTTGTGCAACATTTCGAGAAGCATGTCAACAATTGCAATTGCTTGAACACGACAGTCTCTAGAATCAAACTCTAGCGGATGTAATAGCTTCTTCACCAGACACTACAGTTCGTACACTTTTCGCTATTATAATTTCGACTTGTCAGCCTTCAAACCCGCGTCTATTATGGGATGCGTACAAAGATGACATGGCAGAAGATATTTTGCATCGCCTGCGATTAGCGACGAGATATGTCGACTTACAAATGAACGCTGACATCTACAATGAAGCATTAGTCCTTATTGAAGATTTGTGTTTACTTATGAATGGAAAACTATTGATTGAAGTCCATATGCCGGCACCAAGTCATCAAACAAGGGATTTAGTGAGTCGCGACAAGTACAAACAAAAGTTCCACTGTTGAATGAACAACAAATCAGTGCGTACAATCAGCTAATAAATGCTGTAGATAGTGGAAACGGTGGCATATTTTTCCTCGATGCGCCTGGCGGGACTGGCAAAACGTTCCTATTGTCTTTAATACTAGCACCAATACGTGGTCAAGGTGGTGTTGCATTAGCTCTTGCATCTACCGGGATTAAACTTGCAAATACATGAAAGTCCTGTTTGCAATATTTCAAAGCAATCAGCAATGGCACAAGTTTAAAAAAAATGTAAGTTAACATATGGGATGAATGCATAATTCGATTCAAAATCAAATTCCGGGAGATCTGCGGTCATATAAATCAATCGATCGCGTTGAAAATAAAGACGAGGTAGTAAATTACCCAGTGGAGTTCTTAAACTATTTGATGCCGCCTGGAATGTCGCCTCATAATTTGCGTCTAAAAGTTGGGTCTGTAGTTATTATGCTACGGAATCTTCATGCTCCCAAACTGTGCAATGGTACTCGACTGATTGTGACCAAGCTAATGGACAATTTAATAGTGGCAAGCATTTTGAAATGCCCGTTCAAGGGAGAGGAATGCTTACTTCCCCGAATTCCATTAACTTCAACAGATTTGCCATTCCAATTCAGAAGTTTGCAGTTCCCAGTAAAACTTTCGTTTGCGATGACAATAAACAAGTCACAAGGGCAGTCGCTGGAAGTATGCCGCATAAATTTAGAAATGTCTTGCTTTTCACATGGCCAGCTCTATGTGGCGTGTTGGAAAACCTTCCTCACTGTTTATTTACGCCGCGGAACAGAAAACCAAAAATACCGTGTACCGTGCAGCCCTAAACTAAATATGTACTAAAATTATATATTTTCGAGACTCGATTAAAACTAATAAAATTAAATGAGAATAATACAAACTTAATTTTATTAAACTGTCAACAAATCCTGGACGCGATGTGTCAGCATTATTGAAAAGAGTAGCATTTTTCAAGCAATTAAATTCAAAAAGCATTAATGTACCCTCGAAAAAAATGTTTATCATTCAGGTTCTGGCAATTCACTTCCGAGTAAAATTTGTAAAAACTTTGTCAAATTAGGTTCAGAAGGTATTTTCCACAAAATTTCATTCTTAAGTAAATTGCAGAACCTGCCTGCATATAATGTTCTTTTATTTAAATTTTTTATCAAAAACAGTTCAAAAAACTCAGCAATAATTTTTTCTTCGCTATTTTTCAATATTGGGAATTTGTCAAGGACAAAAAAGGCGGTTCATATTCTATTAAAACCAATGCCGGTGTAATTTTTGAAATGAAAAAAAAATTCTATTTTGGGCAGAACGAAGTTTGCCGGGTCAGCTAGTTTCATATAAAAACGCGGTGTTTTAATCAACAATTTAGTCGGTCATCTCACAAGTGGTGTCAAAAGTGAGATTTCGGGATTAAAGAGCGATTTTCCGTGAATAATTTGCGATTTAAAATGAAAAATGTGTATACATTTTAAATGCGTTAATTTCTACAAGTGGTCCGTGGTGTGCGAAAAAGTGCAGTACTCAAACCGCTTAACGGAGGAGTGGTATAGCTTGGCTGTCGAGAGGAGCGCTAGCAACAAGGCGCAGCGTCGGCGTAGACGTAGTAACAGTAGTAGCAGCAGTAGCAGTAACAGCAGTATTAGCAGCAGCAGCAGTAGTAGCAGTAACAGCAGCATCAGCAGTAGCAGCAGCATCAGCGTCAGTAATGGCAGCAGGAGTAACGGCGGGCATATATAGTGTGTGCGGTAAAGTACAGTACATCGTTGGAGGTAGAGTTACATTTCATTGGAGAAACAGCTAAGTCTTTTAATAAACAATTGTACATTTTTTGAATAACGTCAAATAAGTTATTGAATATTTTTGTGAAAATGCATCAGCAGTGCGTTGGAATGAGCTGCAGAAATTCATCTACGCAACACCACTGTTGAAGGGTGCGGCAAAGATGTTCATAAAAAGACAAAGAGGAATAAGCAGTTGGAGTTAAAAAAACTAGCGCTGCGGCAGGAATTTGGTATAGCATTATCATCGATTGAAGTACAAAGTACTTTCCGTAGTTGTCAGAAGCGACATGGGGAAGATCTTCGATTTAATGGAGTTGGGGAACCGATAGAGCTAGATGACTCAAGCCTAATAGAATATTTCATAGAAGGCATACCAGGCTCAAAGTCGAACAAAAACAACCTATACCAGGCGAAAACTATACAGGATTTGAAGGAGCAGATCAAGGTATACGAGAGTATTCGTTACAGAAAGTCACAACCCGTTAATGGGAACCAGGAGATGGCATCGTCGTCAAACAAGGACTTCCAGAAAGCAGTTCCATTTAGCAGGAAATGTTTTGTCTGCGGAGATTCATCACATCACGCTAGAAGCTGTTCACGCAATAAGACATCGTGTTACTATTCCAGTAAAGAGGGTCATCGTGCAGCTAACTGTAAAGCAGGAAGGAAAACTCCTGAATCGGAACGAAGCAGCGTGAATAATATGACAGATGAAGGTGAAATCGTGAAATCGGAGAAGCGGAGTGGATTGATTTTTAAAGATGTAAGCTTCAACGGAAAATCTGCGTTGGCATTAATCGACACAGGTCGATTAATAATACTTATGTATTATACGTTACGATACGTTAAACATACTTAGTCTGGATGTTGACTTAAGTAGTGCACAGCGACAGTTGATGGGTATAGGTACCAGCAAACTGACAGGCTTTAGCACATCCATCGAGTTAGACAACATAAAGTTGGAAGTAAAATTTCATGTAGTGAGAGAGCGAGACATCAAATATGCGCTCGTGATTGGTAACGACGTTCTAAGACAAGTCAATTTATTCGTTACGGAAGATGGCGCCAAGTGCAGGCAGAAGTAGGTGGAGGAAAAGCCACAGAGCAAGGAGGAGGTGAATACTGGAGCAGTAAGGAAAGATCGCAGTGTTGGGCGAACTAAAAAGTTGATGTGAAATTAAACGTGTTGACAAGGGTGCATGTAGATGAGAAGCAGTATATGGAAGCCGATAGGAAGTATCGCAGGAAAATCTGTGATTGAAGGGCTTTGGAAGTAGCAAGCAATGAGAGCGAGGACGCTGTTGTGGCTAAGGAGCCGAGAGAGTTCAGGATTTCAGAAACCAGTTCGAAGTTGGTTAATGAGACTGCGGAGATGGACACTAATGCTAGGAACAACCCAATTGATGAAGGTGATAACAGGATTGCTGAACTGAGCGAAGAGTTTGCAACAGTGTGTGGTCGCAGGAATGGAGAAGGTACCTATGGACGAAGTCGATATTTCACACCTCAACAAAGAGCAAGCAACTATAGTAAGAAGAATGGTAGCGAATTATAAGCCTACAAGCAAATCAAATTCCCAAGTAGAGATGAAGATCTTACTTGCAGATGACACCCCAGTATATGAAAATCCCAGACGGATGTCATACACCGATAGACAGGAAATGGATGAACAAGTTAAGGAGTGGTTGAAGGATGGGATCATTAAACCCAGTAATTCAAATTATGCGTCACCAGTGGTGTTAGTTTCGGAGAAAGATGGAAAGAAACGTTTGTGTTGCGATTATCGGCGATTACACACAAAGATATTTCGCGATAACTTCCCGATGCCAAGTATCAACGTTGTTATCGAAAAGTTACAGGATTCTAATGTTTTTACGACACTAGATCATAGGAATGGATTTTTCCATTTACCAGGGGAGCCTACCTCAAGGAAGTACACCGCATTCGTTACATATGGGCAATATGAATTCCAGTACGTAATTTTATATTTCTGGCGCATCTAGTTATCGATTTATCGCTCCTTTAGTAGCTTTGAACAGTACCTTTATATGGGGAGTGAGCGGGGTTTCATCCGATTTCATCCATTTTCACACTATCAGTAGAAGTCTTTGTAGTATATTTAATAGTTGTAGCTTAAGTGGCTTAGGAGATATATACATTAAACTCATTAGATGGCGGAGCCACACCGAATTTTAACTTTTCTCGTCACTGTGATCGTTTATATATAAATGACCCTATATCTATGTTGTTTACTTTTAGATGATACGTACAACCGTTAGGTTAACAAAACTATAATATGGTTCTTTTAGCAACTGGTCGCAAGAGCATAAAAAGCTAGAAACCACTTTGAGATCTTTTTAACTGCTTCAAATCACCCCTTTAACCGAATATTATTAACCAAAGGTAGGAAGAGCTTCGTTCATATCAAATGCGATCACAATTTGGTTTACGTTTTTCCAACAGGTTCARGAAACCTGTATCGAGCTCATCCAGGATGTATAAATTCTCAAAATAATTTAAGGTATCCTTAAATGAATATTTATACCTAATGTATCCCAATAACCCAGAACCAATGCACGGAGATCAGACTTCACAAGTCTTAAATACRCAAGTATTAAAGAAACCCAGGCCTKTGCAAACAAGCCAACCACAAATTAGGAGTAGCAGGTATAATTGRCAGGTCATATATCAACCAACCAGTATACCAAAGGGAATAAATGAAAGTGTACAAATAAGTACATAACCTCATCCAAAAGTACAAAGAATAAAGTATATTGAAGAGAACCTTTTTTAAGGCTAATATTTAGTATCACAAAAGATAAGGGACAAACAGGTCATGTACCATATGCGATCTGAAATTTATAATAACTAAGAAGAAGATAACAACTCTTTATGGTTGGACCGACATAAAATATTTTTAAAATAACAACTGGTTTGATATTCACTAACGTTTTTATGAAATGGGAAACTTAGTAAGCTATCTTTTTATTGGAATTAAATTCCTAATTGAAATCGGTGCCGCAACCTATATCCGAAATAGCAAATTGATGTATACGAATAATAAAATTGAAAAAGTATGTGGCAATAAAGTAAAATAAGGTAATGTGGAACAAAAACTTTACATACAGTTTTCGCGCATGAAGACCATAACCGATATTCCACCGTGCTTTACGGTGTTGGTAGCACACTCATCATTAAGGGCTTTATTTTTGGGGGTTTTTTTGATTCAAATATTTCGAACTTGCTTTCGTGCGTAAAAATGTTTTCCCAGAAGTTTGCAACCTAATTTGTATAATTTTTTGCAAATTCCAAGTTCATCTGCTGATTCGCGTTTGATGTATAGGGCATTTGGCGTGGTACTCGTCCATGCCAACCGCTTTTGTGCAATGTTCCCCTGATTGTACTGGTTTACCCGATGTCTCCGCTATATCTTATGATATTTCAACAGCATTTGAAGCTGTATTTGTTTTTACTTCATGTACTATTGATCACGGTGCTGTGTCAGTAAAGCGTTATGGTCTGCCTGGCAGTGACAAATGATCAACAGTGTGATATTTACCATGTTTATCAATCATGTTTTTTGTTGTGCAATGGTGCCTTTCAACTTTTGTTATTGCAAAATTTGAGATTTTAACGACTTATCCTCAAAAAAACATTAATGATATTCAAAAATATGTTTTACTACGCTCACTCGCTTGAATAGTAACGGGTTTCAAAGGATATTTAGCGCTTCCCCGAAATAAGTATTAAAAACAAACAACGGTTGTTGCCACTATTTTCTGTTTACTTTTGACGCGAAAAAACGAGAGTCTTAGTTTAAGTGACTTATTTTTGGCTGTGTTTAGGTTTTTTTTTTTTTGTTGTTAATACTAAGTTAAACTCTTATAATATAAGCCTTGAATTCTGATATAAAGCTTTTTAATATTGTTTTAAAACGGCATTGTAATAAACACTTCAATAATGATAGGATTTTTGTTTACTTACATATATTTGACGCACACAGTATTCGGCACATAAGGTGCAGGTTCGGTACAATTTGGAAAACTTTTGGTTATAAGATGACATACTTCAAGGGCAATTTTTATGCAAAATTTTGTCTCGATGGAATTTAAAAATGGGGTGTATGAGATTTAGGCGTGGTTGAAGTTCAATTTCCCTAATTTTCACCGAATATGGTGGAAATCGGTGAAGGAAATCCCGAGGTACATGATTACACGTAAAATAGGGCGGCGCCACGTACATTGTCCAATTTTGACTATGGCTTAGCTGGATACGTCATTTTGAAGCACTGTCGTAAGATCTTATCTTACCTCTCCGTATTTTGGTTCCTGTTAGTATGTATATCATTTGGAAAAAAAAAAAAAAAAAAAAACCTTAGGTCCAATTACCTGTATAAACCAAAAAATACCTGTTCAACAATTGAAAAATTGTTTTTTCATTCATTCATTCGTCATTCAGACGTCGTATATCGCGTCTAAGCGTTATTTATTCCTGCTATATTTTGACATTTTGCATTTACGTCGTTAACTCGTGCGCATCTCAGTTGTTTCCCATTGTTTTTGCATTAAATCGTTTAATATAATGTYCAGAAAGTGTAAAAATTCGCCAGATTTATTTTGTTTTGTGTGTGGAGGCTTTAATCTACGCTCAAGTTCGAAGAAGTTTTCGCCGCGACTGTTGGTAGCGTATCGTTCGTACTTTGGATTCGGGGCTGAAGAAAGTCTAAGTAAACCTTGGAGTCCGAGTTTTCTGTGTTCAAGATATTCACGGTACCTCGCAGGGTGGCTTCAAGGTACTCACACACCATTGCCGTTTACTATGCCAGCTATATGGCGAGAACAACAAAATCATGTAAATGATTGTTATTTTTGTCTAACGAACATTACTTGAATGAAGTCGACGTCTAAAAATATTATAAAGCACCCAGATGTGTCGTCTATGTCAAAACCAGCTACCCTAAAAACTCCAACGACCTCAACTTCTAACGAACCGTCAACTTCTCGTGGTAGTTGTGGCTTAGAAAGTAGTGTTGATGTTTATGCTTCCGACCACACCGATTTTGACGACGATGACTACGAGCCACCACCAACAAGGTCAAAAACAGAGCCACATCTGATAACTCAAAGCGAACTTTATGATCTGATTCGCGAACTTGATCTGCCAAAAGAGAAATCAGAACTTTAAGCTTCTAGACTAAAACAATGGAATTTATTGCATCCAGAGACAAGAATCTGTACTTATCGGAAACGACATAGTAGTATTGTTTCATTCAGGCTTCAGGGTGTAACATGTCCCTGAAAATACATTTCCTACATTCGCACTTGGATTTCTTTCCTCCCAATTTAGGTGCACTCAGTGATGAACATGGGGAGAGATTTCACCAAGACATATTGAGTATGGAGAAAAGGTATCAAGGCTAATAGACTCCTAGCATGCTGGCAGACTATTGCTGGATATGTTTACGTGATAATCCTGACTACCAATATAGCAGAAGTTCAAAAAAGTACAAAAAAATATAAATTGAGGGATACAAATTTGTAATATACAATATATTTTTTGCAAAAAACTTTACTTTTATTTTTCTCTTAACCTGGACCTAGCAATTTTTTATTATATTCAAATTATATATGTACCTTATCAAAGCAACATAAAAAACAAGTTTGGTTTCAGAGCAGAAAAAAAAATGTCAAAATTGTCGGCTAGTGTTATTTGATGCTTTCAATGAAACTATTTATATCCGTTATCCGTTTGTGAACAACCATTTAAGGTTTGGTGCCGTTTCCCTATTCCCTTCTGACTTGCAGCTGGGGCAATTACCATTTTAAAGCAGTCGCATTTTCTGCGATTGCTCTCCAAAAGTAGCTGTAAGTCCGTATATGCTATTTCTGGACCTAAATAGCAATTCTTTTATATTTCAACCATATTTGCATTGTTATCTTGCAGTTTGTTGTTGTGTTCGATTGCAGCTGTTTTTTGCTCCAAGTGCATAAAAGCTCGTTTTGGTCGTTCCTAAAGGCCATAGTATTTGCACCGCTTCGGACTCGTCTAGAGAATTTTGTAGTTTTGACAACTCGTCTGCTTTTTCGTTGCCGACCGGGAGCCGAAATTAAGAACAGACAGAGTTGACTTGTCAGTGAGCTTAAGATCTTCCTGCAGTTGCTGACTACGTTGGAATTAATCTGTGATGTCGACAAGACAAGCAAAGCCGCATGAAATTCATACATTATTTCTCCGTTATGATAACTTTTTTAAAACCTTTTTCTTGTGAATTCTTTACTGTGTCTTTTAAATTTGCGTTGGTTTCTCCATTAGGTTCAGGTCAGGTTAGATGGTTAATCCCTCAGCGTGGTGGAGGAATTACACGTACACTGAAGATTAAGCCCTATGTGCAGCCAAATGAAAAACGCCTGTGGCTAGCTATAAGCTATCGGCAAAGCGCCCAAGACCTAACATAAATTTGATAAGGTTTTTTGCGTAGACTTTTGCTATATCATCTAGAATCTAAGTGTTAGAGCCCCGAGGTGTTTGTGCCTTCTCCTGGCAAAGATGGAATATTCGAGAAGAAAGTGTTGAGATGTTTCAACTTCTTCCCAACAACTGATGCGTGAATTCCGATGACAGTTTCCAGTTAAAATTCCTACAAGCGTTCAAAGATAAACTTTGCTAAGAGCCAAGAGCTCCCTAAATCTCTTTCGATTTACCCCAGGCTAGAACACCTGATGGTGGTAGTTGACCAGCGCTTAACCGAAATTCAGATAATAAATGTTTCATGTTGAGTCTTCAAATTTCTAGATGTTGAATGAACTCTTTCTAATTGTCCATTACTAGTAATGTGACTGGGTCTACAACAATAAATTTGTACATTTAGTCATTCCATTAAGTACTTGAACTGTATCGTATTTAAGTCTGGTTCGTTTTCACCAACGTTACTTTTTACATCTGTGAATGATGGTAATAATTCTATTATTTTTGCTCTTCTAAATTTGATTCATTCTCCATATATTTTACTTTTAGAAGTTTTGAGTTGGAATCTATACTTTTTAACTTTGTGCAAAAGAAAATTCTTCGTCCTTTTCTGATATTAGTTTTTCTGTTAGGAGTAGTTTTGTTTAACTTTTTTTATTACTGTTACATATCCTCTTCGTGTTTAGAGCCGCTAAACCTGTAAAACAAAAGCTGTTTTACAAAAAAAAAAAAACACCTAGAAATTATAATTAAATTCTCAGGGTAAATGATATTATAAAAAAATATACATTTTGTTAAGTTATTAGATCTGTACTTAATTACCATGCCAAACATGAGCGCGGTACGACGTACACCTCAGTAGTTCGTGCAATTTTACAATGCGTAAAAATATTGAAGAAGAAATGTGTCTCAAATATTTTATTTCTAACCAAATTTCGTGTGCGGAATCATTGCGAATGTTGCAAAAGGCTTACGGTGATTCAGTCGGTTAAGACATCGAAAATATCATACTCATGGCTACCTTCTGCAAAATGTTGAGTTTCTAGTGGGGAATCACTCGAGTCTAGTTAAATTATTTAATAGTTGTCTTGATAAAGCGCCACCAACTACATTTGTTTCCCGGTTTATAAATTATTTGTGGCGAAAACGCCTCAATAAAATTTCTTCATCTTTTCACTTTTACATTTGCACATTGCAAATGCCAAAGAGTGATGACTGATGACATGTGTGAATTTCTAAATTTGTTTATAGATAATGATGTAATAGTTTCAATTCCCAAACTATGGCGAATATGTGCTTTTAGTTTGTTGCATAATTTTCTTCTGTGGTATAATGTACACATTTATGTAAGTTCATTTCGCAGCACTTGGGCACTGTTTATATGTACATATGTATATGTATTTATTCTTTTTTGTTTTTTTTATTAATTATCCGAGGTGCCTTTCGGTAAGGCTCGAAGGACCATGAACAATTTGCTGTCAAATTTGCAAACAAAAGTACTAATCACTTTCACTTTAGAAAATAAAAATGCGTACGGATCTAAAATGCGCAAAACTTTTAACTTTTATTTATAACTGAAATGTACATTTTATAAAGTTAGTTACTATAAATATAGACGGGATATGCGGTGAGACTCAATTCCGAGAAATAATTGGCCGATGCTGGCGATCGAGAAGCCGCGGAATTGGAAAATCACGTTAGAGGAGCAAGACGCTGACGCGGCGCAGTGTAGAAGCGAATGTTAAAGGTCGAATTGTATACATCGAATTGTGTTGAACGAATGTAAGCCCGGACTCATGTATAAATAAGAATCGGACGTCCTGTTGTCCATCCTTTTTGTTGAGTGGGTTGTACAGGTGTGGTGAGTTGAGTTGGTGTTGTGTTATAGTGTCATCGGCTGTGGTGTATTTTATTGTCTCGCTAGGGTGCGCCAGTTTTTCACAGGTAGAGTGGGAGGAGGCTTAACTCATTTAAACAGATGTCGTTGCAGTCGTATATCTCTAATGCTACCAATCATATTGTGTCGGGGAAGCAGAGAAAGACCTCCACTCCGTTGGAAAGACCAGGTGGAGAAGGACCTGTCTTCGCTTGAAATGAAAAATGGTCTGAACCACTTTGAAGAGAATCCAATGAGGACGGTTTGTAAAAAAAATCCAAAAAATATTTGTTTTTAACTGCCTTACGAACGTAAATTCAAAATAAAATTCATTACTCACGACAAACTCCTCTGTTGAAAAGCCTCTGCCCATGGAAGTAACGGCGAGTTTGCGGGGAGACGGGGCGGAGAAAAAATTTGAGCTCTGACAAAACATTCAAAAAAGCAAATGACAAGTTGCCAACAAATATATAGTACATTTGAACTCACATATTGACGCTGTGCACATCGCCGCAAAGTTGACAAAGTTTTTATGCATCGACATCTCGCGACACCGTCATCTATGTTGATACTTTTGTTCATTTTGTAGTGTTTTATTGTTCAAAATTTACTTCTAGTCTTGACATACAGCAGCGTTAAACCGGATTAACTGCGCACTTAATCAAATCGACATTTGTAGATGACAGACGGCAGCTATGCCCTCGTAAACAGCTGATTGTCATTTTTATTGTTTAATTTGTATTATCAAACATTGAACTCAAAAATAATCTTTAGGTTCTTACCGCTGATGGAGGAAAAAAGATCTTTGTTTGAGTAAGAATATATTAGTTCTGATTTTATTTCGGTATTTTTCATTACTTATATGCTATTTTATGAAAGTGTCTTCAATAGCTAGTTTTATATAAATATGTAAAACAAAACTCTTTCTTTTCTTGCTCTCACTCTCGAATAAGATTTACTGCTCATTTTAAATACTTAGTTTTTTTTTAAGTTGAACTCAACGTTGTTAACAAATGTTTGGATAATCGTTAAGTTAGTTGAAGAGTAATGATCAAACAATAAAGATTCATATATTTGTATTTTCAACCGCAACATTCAGTATTTAATTCAGCTGAATATTTCTGGCGACGAGGATGGGATACGTCGTGTTAAATTATCGTATCCAAACCGAACATTTTGCGTGCAAAGCAAATTAAAAACTTTTTGTGATTTAATTAAATAAATAAATGAAAAGTACACTTCAAAACTTAATGCTACCAAATTAAGTACTTTGTGTTTGTGTTTTGTGGTTCTTAAATTTGACCACACATATATATTGTGGAATAAACATTTATCGAAAAAAATAGTGTTCGAATTACAAACGTGGTTTGCATATAAAAGAAATAAAAATTGTACAGTCAATGCAACCAGAACCATATATTACAACAACAAAACCACATATGTTCTAACAAAAATAAGTGACTTTCATCTGCCCTTGAAAAGACAAAATTCATATTTTCACATTCATTTGAACTTGAAAAAAAGGGGAATAGAGCACTACCATATTTAATATACAGAAAAGAATAACTTCATCTTGGGAGACTACAAAACAAAAAAAAAAAATATATATATATGCATAATCATCGTTTGCATTGTAAATTTTTCAACGTCAGCAAAGGGAGAGAATATACCGACATTAGCACCACATTCGCCGTCGTTGACTTCGAGGGAAGAACAATTACAGCAGGAATACTTCCCAGCTACGCCTCGGTTTTCACAGCTGAAGCTGTCGCTATCTTCAACGCAATCATCTTCGTCGAAAAATCTAGTTTTAAAGCAGTTATCTGCACTGATAGCAAGTCAA